TTTTAAATAAAAGTGTATTTTGAATAGGGACATTTTCTTTCATACAGGTTTTGTCCTGTTCTGCTGTGACAGACTAAGTTTAGAGAACTACTAGCACTTCTAGCTGATCCCTAAGCCAAGGTACTTGAAACATCTATAAAATTAAATGAGAACTTTGAGTAACTATACTTTCCTAATTTAAATAATGGATACAGAGAATAGTTTACTATCTGAGAGCAGGAAACACCCTTTGCTGTTCTTTTCTCTGAAAAATAGAAAATGGATCCTTCAATTAGTTTATCTTCCCTCCCTGTTGTCTCCTTCTTTGTCTGGGACTCATATTTACCTTTTTTCCAAACACAGGAGAATGTGAAACCTGTGGGAAATGGCCACAACAGGACATCACAGTTCCTCCAGCCCTTCTCCCTTTGCTCTTGTGCCAGCACAGGGTTCAGGCTGCTTGAAGCCACATGTTCCCCTCTCAGGAGGGTGGGTTTCCTTAGGAAGCCATCCATGCCATCTCCAGGGCTGCCTTCCAGCATGGGAGAGGGTTCCCAGTTCAGACCTAAGCATCACCCTAGCCAAGAGGACCTTTCCCTGAGCTCCATCCTCACATCCTCCACCTCCTGCCCCTCAGAGACATTTGGCAGCTTGATCTCAGCACAGCCAGGACCAGGCTGAGTGACAAAGTCACTCCCTTTCCCAGCCAACTCCCAGTGCCACCTCCTGAGTGAACAGGCTGAGCTGGCTTTTTATCCAGCCCAGAAGGTGTCTGCCTGGCTTACCCAGTCCATCTTATCTGACATTCCTTCAGGAAGCAGTTTCCTTAATGAGGCCACGTCACTGAGCAGAGATAGTGGTGATGACAAGTTCCAGGACTCAGGGGAAAAAGACCACCCTGGCACAATGGGGACGATGGGAGCTGTCCTAGCTCTGCTGGAGAGGGGTTCTCTTGGGAAATTATGGTATTTTACCCATTATTTGTGAAACAACTCAGAATGCCAACATGGCAGATGTTATCCATTGCCTCAGCACGGAAGTAATATCAGAAGGAACATGGAAATCACTTATTTTTCATTTGTAACCCCACAATGTGGGATTACAAAAGAAGGGCTGCCCCAAGACACATGGGTTGCAGGCCAGGTTTAGCAATGTGCAGCATTACATCTGCTTCCCAAATGAAAGGTGTGGGATGTGCAACCCAGGTATCACACCCACAGCAAACTACTGGGCATCAGAGGAGCTGCAAACCATCCGTGTGACCGCCCTTGGACCCTGTGTGAGTCCCTCTGGAGAGTTGTCTTAAATTCCTAAGGAAAATGACATAATTTTCACTTCATTTACCATGGATGTTTAGGATAAATTTAATTATTTTGCACTTGCTGTGGAGTAAGAGCACATAGACAGACAGTAACTGTGATGCAGCTGCTGCTCAGTTAGTCAATACAACACAGCATTGTAATCACATATCTAAAATCTTAATCTAAAGCTAAAAGGCCCCATGTAGAATATAAAAAAAATGTAGGTTCAATTTAACTGGTAAGTCATTGTCCTGGAACACAGAGGTAGCAAAAACAAAATCATGAATTCATAGAATCATAGAAAAGCAAGGTTGGAAGGGACCTTAAAGTACATCTCATTCCAACCCTGCATTGGGCAGGGACACCCTCCATGAGACCCACCTGACAGCTGATGTGATGCACACTATGTGTGGTAAGGAAAAAGATACCTGAGAAGTTCCAACAATAAATCACCTTAAGATTAAAATGAAAATGAAAATTAAAAATTAAAATTAAAAAATATTTCATCTTGAAATTAAGTCAATTACCATCTCAATTAAGTCAAATAAATAGTTTGGAAACACTGAATTTGCTGTGAACTTCATGGCTTATTCCACTGCTGAGATCAGAGGGCTGCAGGAAAAGCAGCAAACATGGGAACACAAACCCTGATCCAGCCTTTCCCAAAGCAGTCACAACACAAGGAAAGGAGAAATAATCTGTTCTGCCTCTCCTTGCTGTTCAGCAGGACAAATGCAGCCTCTTAAGCACAGAAAGCCAAGAGCACGGGCATGCATTCAACCAAACACTCAAGCACCACCACTCACGTGAGCCTTCCTCTGCTGCCTTGACCAAGCTGGACTTTTTGGGCTCCTTCAGGTTGGCATTGCTGTCCTGGCTGGACATGCTGAGAGAGGAGCCATCCAGGCTGTTCCGCTCGCCATTGTAGCTCTGGTTGGGAGGCAGGTTTGGGAGGGTAATGAGGCTGGGTGCTTGTGTTGTCACCTGCTTCCATGTGCCTCCAAGATCAACACGAGAACGAATCCTTGTAGTTCCCCACCTACCTTTTTGGTCAGTATAGCTCGAATAAATGTGGCTTGTATTGCACTGGTCTTTCATTTGCTTCATTGGTGACCCTGACAGGCCATTTTGGATGTGTGTCACATTAAAAATAGTATAATAGACTTAAGAGTCTTGTGAGTTGTGACTTTTTCCTGTGCTACCTGTCTGAAATTGTCTGAAATTCAGATCAATGGAGCAGGGCCAGAGCTCATAGAATCATTGAAGGGACCTTAAAGGTCATCCCATTCCACCCCCTGCCATGGGCAGGGACACCTTCCACTATCCCAGGTTGCTCCAAGCCTCATCCAACCTGGCCTTGGACACTTCCAGGGATGGGACAGTCACAGCTCCTCTGGACATCCTGTGCCAGGGCCTCACCACCCTCACAGGGAAGAATTTGTTGCTAATATGAAATCTAAACCTGCTCTCATTCAATCTGAACCCGTAACCCTCTTGTCCCATCACTCCAGGCCCTTTAAAATTGTCTCCCTTCATTTATCTTGTCAGCTCTCTTCAGGTACTGGAAAGTCACAATTAGATCACACTGTAGCCACCTCTTCTGAGGCTGAACAATCCCAATTCTCTCAGCAGAGGGGCTCCATCCCTCTGATCACCTTGCTTCTCTGGATTCACTCCAGCAGCTCCACGTCCTTGTGCTGGTGTTGCCCAGGGCTGGGGCAGCTCTGCAGGTGGGGTCTCACCTGAGCACAGGGGCACAGGGGCACAATCCCCCCTCCCCTGCTGCCCACGCTGGGGATCAGCCCAGGGCAGGGGGTTCAGAGCTGGGGCAGGTCCAGCTCTCCCCCCCCAGCACCCCCAGGTCCTTCTCCCACCTGCTGTTAGGTACTGATCAAATATCATAAGAGGCAGAGTACTGCAAATCTGAGTGATGTGAAACACTGGTTGTGTTTGAGGAGTTACTGACAATGCATTTGGCGTCACCGTCCAATAAATGTGAGGCTTTTGCCACACTGTCAAATAATTTAAAAAAAAAAAAGGAGTGATTAGTTTATTCTCGTTATGAATTGATATAAGCAACTGGGTAAGCCTGTCCACAAGCATTCACAGCCTTGTGTGCTGCAGTTTTATGAGACAGCATATGGCAACACTCATCCATGGTGTAACTCCTCTTACATCCGCTCTGCTGCATTCAGGATGAGTCCTGGCCAATTCCATTGATGATCATTTTAGTAGTAACTGTCAATTAAAGCCTCTCTGTATTTTTTGCAAAGTGGACTCCTTAAATAAAATGAACTTATGATCAGCTGCTTTATTATGTCTCACTGTATAAAAGTAAGAGAAGTCTGTTAATCTTGTTTGCTAATTTTAATTAGAGCATGTACCTTGAATTCCAATTAGCTGTACTAGGCTGATAAGCAATAGAGAGTGTGCAAGTAGAAAGGACATTTCACTAAAAAACGTTTGGTGCTCTGAGTGGTAGCAAAGAGACCTGGCTTTTTATATCCAGCAGTGGTGGAATAGGGATCTATTCCCCAGTCCAAGTGAGGACAGTCAAAGGACCCAATATTCTGGCTGGAGGACTTTGAATAGTGGGACCCATTACTAATCTGCTTTTTGGGCATAGCAAGGACAGCAGCAGGGAAATGCTGTGTACCAGCAAGGTAGTGAGCTCTCATCTGAAGGGTTTCACTTACACTGCTTGATTTTTCTGTTGAAACTGCAAATTATAGAGCTGATGATAATGAGGTGAGAGTGGCCTTACTTTCAGCTCTTGTCTGAAAACCAGAAATCCATTTTGGATAAGCCAAAAGCCCTCTGAGTCCCTAATGAGCTGCCTTAGACTTCAACCAGATATTCAATAATTTTATTTTTATGAGTAGCAGTGGAATCTGCTTTGAGCCATAACTGTACCTGTTCATAAAGCGTGCGCTCTATCTTTCTGTCCTCTTTCTTTTTAGAGAGCCAGCGCTCGCACAGGAAAACGAACGACTCCTCTGTGGTTTCATCCAGGATCTCCACTTTTTCCAGAAACCAGTCAGGACTGAACATACTGTTGTCATGACGAATCTTGATCTTGTACAGAATGCCGAGGTCCACAGCCTGTATTGTGAACGTGTCCTCCTGCAGGATGTTCGAGAACCGTTGATTCTGTTAACAAACTCTCAACAGATCATCTACTGGAAAAAGGCAAAAAAGGGAGACTACAGAACACATATGTTTAAATTCCATATTGCTGGATGGCGTTTGGCTGAAAGCTTTGCAGAAGTCTATAGAGGCATATCTATAAGCTAAAACTGTTCTTCAGGGAAATGTTTTAAAGCTGCTTCTGCTAGGCAAGAAACACCACTTTTACAACCAGTCAGAATATTGAAATCCTGGGAGATTTTAAATTATGCTTCCCTTTCTAATCCAGTTAGATTTGTATGAACAATCCAGATAAGGCAATCCTTGCTACCATTATATCCAAGTGACCCATGGGATGACCACAGAGCATCACTTATGGAGTTATTTTCCCAGATACAGCAGAAGTTTAAGTCCCACCAATTTAACAAGTTTTGTGGTGAATTCCAACATGTACTGTGTACACGCAAATCCATTGCACAGGGACTGTGGGAATCTGCAGCTCACAGCTCAAGCCAGTTTCCATGACCAAGCTCATAATTTGTCCATCAGTGACTTCATAGGAACATCTGCCTGTTTGCTGCAGTGCCTGTCAGCTGTAATACCCAGCTGACAATCCATACAAAGCATTTTAAGAGGTAATGAATGTGGTAAATGGAATCAATCAATTCATTCCTCATAGGAAAACTCAGCCTATAAAGGCAGTCATTGATTTGATAGGTTAAAGACTGAGAAACAGAAAGTGTCATTAACCCATTGCATTTGTACCTGTCCTCTTTCAAACTTGTTGAAGTTTGTTTCGGATTTACTGAGTTTTCTCTCTCCCATGTCCCCCAGGTCTCCATAGATATTTAGGAAGACATTAGCATCTGTCCCTGCACCGTAGATATCCCCAGTGAACACGCTGATCTTGTATGTGTGAACTGCAGAAAGAAAGAGAGATGATTTCTGGTCAGACAAATATTAAGATCCTTGGTAGGGACTGAATTTACCTAAGAAAATGCGCCCCAGATTTTCTGCCAGTCACTTGTAGAGGTATTAAATCCCATATGGTTTTTCTTTCAGGTTTCCAATACAAAGGCTGGCCAATCCCTGGGCTGACATTTGCTGACTTTCCTTTTCTCTGTCCAATCAATGCCTTTGATCACACAGCTCACGGTTCAAAATGCAAAGAATCATTATGGTCATTACTGGATGGGAAGTCAATAGAGGTGAGGGGACTCAGCACCTTTTCATGCAGAGGCTCGAGGGACACAGAGCTGAGAACAAGTAATTCAGTGCTGTGAATCCCTAATACTCCATCTTCCATAAACAAAGACTGGGAATTCAGATGTGCAATTACTACAGGAGTTAATGGCATGTATCTCTATAAATTCCCCAAACAGACAGAGAACAGGTTTCTGGGTCCTTTTGCTGAGAGAGTATTTAATTAAAGAAGGGCTGGAGATGTGCTGTTTAAGTACCCTTTCTCTTTAGTTTGCTCAATGATGAGACAATAAAACCTCATCAAGCCTTTAGTAATGTGCTTTTCTAAACCTGTTAAATACTCCTATTTTTATTTTGCTCCTCTTCTCTCAATTGTATGGGGAAAACAAACAGTTACTGAAAGCATCCTCTCCAGGAAAACAGTGAGGGTCTGTACAAGTCTCTGATTACCCTGGTGGCATATGAGCCATGGAGAATGCCTCCCTGCAAATCCCAGGGCAATGCAAATGAGCAAGAGGCACAAAGTCTTAGTTAGGATTCTGTGTACGTTAACTGCGTCAAAGAAAATTGCTATATTGTATTTCTTCTTTCACAGCAAGACAGACCCTGTTCTGCTTTGTCACTCATGAAAGATTTCCATTGATTTCTCTGAGATATGGATCAGAGTCATCACCTGAGAACATCCACCAGGACTATGTGTGGTGCTGGATTTTCTGGTTTGCCTCTTCACATATGTCCTACAGAGTTACAGCTCCATAATTGAGAGGCAACCGCTACTTTAGTAACGAAGGAAGGAATGTATATTGTCTAATTAGTCAATGTATCCCTCTTTGGCCTTTCCTTGCTAGTTCTAGAGACTTTCAGGACTAAAATACAGTGTATTATAAAAAAAAGATGATCCTCAGAATACCACGAGCTGATTGCCATCGATGTCATTTACACCACGTCACTGCCCAAGATGTATGAGGACTCACAGGCATGCAGAATATTTAATTCTTGTCCCATGTATTTCATATCTAAAGCAGAATTTCCCAAACTTAGCCCTAGCTCCATACCAGAAGAAACTTTCAGTGATCCAGAAATTCCATTGCATGGATTGTAGAACTTGTTTTTAGGCTTTGCCTTCAGAAGGAAAAGTGAGTCACCCAGGTTAATTAACAAATGGTAACTGATCCAAGGTAAAGCAACAGAAATTAACAAGTTAAGGAAAATGTCATACAGGCACCCAGATGTCATAGAATTGTTGAATCATCAATTTGTTTGGGTTGGAAGAGACCTTTAAAGGCCACCTTATCCAACCCACCTGCCATGGGCAGTGACACCTTCCACTGTACCAGGTTTTATCAGAGCCTCATCCAAACTGAGCTCCAATAGTTTCCAGGAATTCACCACTTCTCTGGGCCACCCTTGCCTGTGTTTTACCTCTTAGCAATTGATTTTAAAATTGTCTTTGCCTCTCCAGTAAAAGAAAGCTCCCATGAGCTACTGTTCCAAACAGAAGGAAGGATGGCACCAGTCTTCCTCCCAGCAAGGCACCTCTTCCCTTGGCAATGGAAAAAAAATGCATGTTAATTCCACCCTAACAACGTTCTACAGTGAATGGAAGTCAGACTCTGAAGGAAAAGAAAGAGTGAGATAACTTATTTTCCCAGGTGAATCATCTTGTTGTCAGATGCAAGAGTCAGGAATGGAAATGGCAGCTGAATTCCTTTTGCTCGGCTCAGGATGAGGAAGTTCATGACCTCTCCCAAGGACATAATGAGCTCTGGGTGAGAAATGGAGATCCTTTTCTCGAGGAAAAAGAGGTACAAACAGCTGCACATACTGAGAAGCAATGACTTAGGGGTAAAATTACAGTTCCTTTTCACTTGCTTCAGCTACCAGTAAGGCCAAACACTGAATGTCACCATTTTATAACATGAACTCAGAACTGAATAAGAATGTTTTCCCCTCCTGAGAGGCACTTTAATGAGGTGAAGGTGGCTGCAATGACCCAGGTTTCTGAAGGTTATGCATGTGTACCTGAAGAGCAGCAGGCAAAACAACTCTGGGAGGAAAAAGGAGCATTAATTAGATTCATAGGATAGGAAAGGAAGAGGCAGAGTGCACAGCATAGAAGAAGTTGAGAAAATGAGTGAAGAGGTTAGCACAGTCTTAAAGATAAGATGTAAGAATGTTGCTAGGCATCAGAGGAGACATGGAAACTATGGGTGTGGAAGGGTGTCTGTGACAAGTTCTTAAAAGTCTCACAGGAAAATAATGATGTTATTGCACAGAAATGCTCCAGGTGTGAGAGAGGCAAGAGAAGAGGAAGGGAAAGAGAAGTGAACAGTTAAACCAGCATGGCACTGAACCACACATGCAAATGGTTTGTACCAAAAATCAGACAAATCATCCCTACCTACTGCTAGGATTATATTACCTTCTAAGGGCTCTTCAACTTCTTCCTCTATCTGCTTGAGTGTCCCATCCTTCATGAGCTTTTCAGTAAAAATATCAGATGGCACCAGCTCTCTGACAGTCTCACCATCATCTTCAGACTTTGCAAGCCATCTTTCACATGGAAACGTGATAGTTTCTGAGCCCTGGAGTAAACATGACAGGGGAAATCTCTTCAAAACAACATGAACACATGCTAGCGCTTCCCCTTTGAATACGCTCCAACATGCAGGCAAGGATTTTCAACTCATATGTGTGCGTGTGTAGAGGCAGACCTAAAATAGTACAGAAACAGAGTATTTCCTCCAGAAAAAGGACATCTGAGGGCTCTCAGAAGAAGCACTGAACATGCAGCAGAAAATAGGATTCCCAGTGGGTGTGTGGAGTGGCTGTATGATCCAGTAGATCTCTGCTCTTCCCAGTATTAAAGCTTGTAAATTCCTAATCAGGACTGGACCATTCCTGCTGAAGCTGTGCTTTACTGAGACTCTGAAATTTCTCTTCAACCCTTATTCAGGCAGCATTTTCTTTGAAGCCAGTAGGGCTTTTTATTTTTTTTCTGAGCTCAATACTTCATGATTTCGCCTATAATTCTGTGACTCAAGCTGGGTTCCAGGCAATTCCCATACATGCAATAAGAGGAGAAAAATACTGATTTAATTTTTGATCTTTTGTTTTGACTTCACTTTGGTGGAAACAAATATGATTTATATCATCAAACAGACAAAAACAATAGAACATGTGTTTTCCACTTGGTAAACAAAATTAATCCCAGACTATTCATTAAGAACAGACTCCCATAAGGCCTCCAAGATGGTAAGAAGCAGGCAGCTTTCAGAGTGCTGGGCACCCCAGGATATGACTCCATGAAGAGAGGAGCATGAGCCACCATGCAAGATACAGAGGCCACAAGTCTGACCAGAAGAATAAAAAAAGAAAGTTAGTTTTAATCTCACAGTAAATAAATACAGGGGGGGAAAAAAAGGCCCTTTCTTTACTGGCAAGTTCATCATTTCTCTCTTACCCTGCACAGGGGCTTCCTGCTCTTTGCAGCATGCTGTGTACCATCCCTTTCATATATAACATAGCAATGGATGTTTACAGAATCCCAGAGGGATTTGGGTTGGAGGGGACCTTAAAGCTCATCTGGTTCCAAGACCCCTTGCCATGGGCAGGGACACCTTCCACTATCCCAAGTTGCTCCAAGCCCTGTCCAACCTGTCCTGGGACACTGCAGGGATGCAGGGGCAGCCCCAGCTGCTCTGGGCACCCTGTGCCAGGGCCTGCCCACCCTCCCAGCCAAGAATTTCTTTCTAATATCTAATACCTTGCCCTCTGTCAATGTGAAGCCATTCCCCCTTGTCCTGTCCCTCCATCCCTTGTACAAAGTCCCTCTCCAGCTCTCTCGTAGGCACCCTTTATGAATAATTTCCACCTTAATTACTCTGCTGTGATTTCTTATCAAGCCAACACAGGGCCCTTTCATCACTACTTTTACTATTTAAATACTAAAATATTAATACACGGTTAGGAAGAGAATAGATCTCACTGTAGCAGTCTTGAACATTGTTGTCACTGTGTATTACAGCGCTGAACTTCCTGGAACTGCAGATCCTGCCCTCCCTGCCACTGGGGAGGAAAAGCTTGTGCACCCAAGAGTAGATGTGCACTGTGATCATAGGTAATCTGGAATGAACAGGTCACGGTGTCAGCACACAAATATCCCAGGGAAGTTGGTCTGTGGGAGCAGAACCCCTCCGAGGGGCTGAGTGTTTTGAGTCTGCAACAGAATCACACTTTGAGTGCACACAGCCCAAATCTTCTGCTGTTAATGAAACACCATTTCTCCTCCCCTCTGCTGCTCCCTGCAGTCCTGCTGTTTAACCCCAGACAGAGATGTTTAACTCCACGAGGAGGTTTGGAGCATGGCGTACAAAATGGTGTCAAAGAAAACCGGCAGCACTTCAGGTGATTTCACATCTTTTGCTTTCAAGTGTTATTTTGTGCTATGGAAGCAGAATACAGCACCTAATAATTCATGCCTCCTCATTGCTGCACTGGCTGACCACTTAACCTGTATTATCTCACTGTACGCCCAGCTGATGAACAGTGCTTATCTCCACACCTGCAGGCTGGGGAGAGAGAGCTTTCCAGAACGATGCTTCAGCGCTGAAACTCTCTCCTCCTGATAGAGATCCCACTTCAGTCACATTTCTCACTGGAGCTTTCAACAGCTCCTGAACATTCATACTGCTGGCTGTATGTGCCATTGATGCAAACACTGTTTATTTGGTAACAAGATACCTAGGCACTGGAGTGACAGCACAGCGGGGCATAATGTGCACTTACTGCAAGAGTTAATCGTGCCATCATTAATAATCAGCATGCCATTGCCATCCTTTTTATTGGGGTTTCCCTGTTAGGGACTGTATTAATATTTAAGTGATGTAAAGTGCACTAGTTTGTATTAACAACAATAAAATCCTCTTGCAGCCCTGAACATAATTTGTTTTGTTGGAGTCTGAGTCTGGACCTAAGCTAGAAGCAGAGTACAATAGTGTGCTAAAAGTCAGTGCTTTTCCCTTCTCCAAGTTGTAACAAATGAAATATAATTATCAAATATAATTGGCATGGCAAGATGTTTTTTTCAGCACGCAACAATCCTAGTTTCCTACCCAAGCGCTTTCAATTTAATCTAAAAAGTTACTGACCTCATTTTTCTTTTGCAGCTCTACAGATACATCTAGACACATTTTAGCAGTCTAATCAGGTAGCACGGCTTTTAGAAGCGCTGGCAGCATATTGCTATCCTGTGGCAGGTCATAATATCCTGCGGCTGATCAGCGGCATCATGCAGTGCTCTGCTTTCTTCTTTTTTTCCCATGCCATAATCAAAAGATCAGCAGAATTGTAAATCTCTCCATTCCCAAGTCGTTCAGGGCTTTCCTCCCTTCTTCCACCTTCAGGTTTCTCACCACCTGCCCTTCAAAGCTGCAATGAGGAGGGGGTGCAGCCCCGAGACCCTCTCTTGGCAAACTGAAGAGCACCCAAGGTGGAGCGCTCGGGCACTTCCCAAGGTTTAAGGCCAGTGTAGAAAGAGACAGCCCAGGAATCTCTTTTCCCCTTGGTTTCCACACATTTGGGCATCCCCCTCTTCATCTTCTTCTTGTGACCAATAGCAGCATCCCTGAAAACAACGTGTACCTGTCCATTAACCTAGGCACGAGTTAGGCAATACACTGAGATAATGTCAGAACAGCAAAGAGGTGATAACGAGGAACAATCCAAGAGTACTGGATTGTGAAGAAGCTTGCTCAGGAGGATGGAAAAGAGAGATGAGGGGAGACCTTCTCACTCTCCACAGCTCCCTGACAGGAGGTTGGAGACAGGTGGGTGTCAAGCTCTGCTCCCAGGGAACAAGGGACAGGAGGAGAGGAAATGGCCTCAAGGTGCACCAGGGAGGATTTAGACTGGATATTGGGAAAAATTTCTTCACAGAACGGGTTGTCCCACCCTGGCACAGGATGCCCAGGGCAGCAGAGAAGTGCCCATCCCTGGAGGGATTTAAAAGAGGGATTTAAAATCTGTGTGGATGTGGAACTTGGGGACATGGGTCAATGGTGGCCAATTCCATGATTCTGTGGTGAGGAGGGTCCAAGGAAGACCTGTGAGTTGGTTGTGTAGCAAAGACAATCAAACATATCCTGTAAATTTTGAAGGAGGAAGCAAGATGAGATGTGGGTTCACCATGACTGAACAAACTGTTTTAGATCTTGGTATTACAGGCCACCTGAGGAGTGGGCAGTCCTGAGATGAAACCCCTTTGGAATAAGGGGAAAGAGCCCAGGTCTCCCCAATGCAGCTTCTGCTCCAATTCTGGACTGGTCCTAAAGAGGTGATTTTCTTTTGAACTTCCCCACAGCCAGATTCATCCCTGTTGCTATAGCCAGCATCTGAAAGCAGGGCTGAGGAACACTTTCTTACACGGGCAGGATCAAGGTGACCAATCTGACTGCATCGTGTCAATGTTGTTCACATGAACAGCAAAAAATCCTATCATCTAACCTGACTTTTTAAACACGATTCAGGGAGTTGCACTGACAGGCATTTTGCTTGCCTTAATTGTACTGGCTCCTTGCATTTATTCTTCCAGGATTAAGGGACTGATGAAATTGTTTCTTGTCCGTGTTTGGCAACAATACTTTTTATTTTAAAATAGTACGCCCACTTTCCACTTCCTTCCCTGAGATCCCTCAAAACAGAACTACACAGGAAAACACAAAGCTTTGAAAAAGCAATTATTGCAGAGCCTTATCGTCAACATTTGAAGAACAAAACATGATAACACATGTTTGTTGTCCCCAGATCCCCAGGCTCCAGCAAGTTCATTTAGTGCGCATTGCTCTTCGGGGAGTCGTTTTTCACTGTTAATCACACTTTGTACACAGAAGATGCAATCTGGGAGATGGAAGTGGCGGCTCCTGGGGATGTGCTGGGATGCACAGCCTACCTTCCCGTTTGGCAGCAGCCTCCGAATCGTCACACGGTCCAAGTGCCACCCCGAGTTCACCCCTCCGCCATTGTGTCCTATGCGAATCTTTTCAATAATGTCACCAACATCCTCCAGCTACAGAAGAACAAAGACAGAAACATTGCCAAACAACACCAAAAACAAACAGCAGAAAAACAAACAAACAAAAAACCAAACTGCACCAAAATCAAACAAACTGAAAGTCAAAAAATTTTTAAAAAGTGAAATATTAATGGCATGAACAACCGCTGACTTTTGAGATACCACTTCTTTACCTTATATCATATTTCATATTTTTGGGCTGTTTGAAGTCCCAGAGGAGAAAGTATTAGTGCAGATGTTAATTGTAGAATCATAAAATAAATCTTAGAATGGTTTTGGTTCAAAGGGACCATAAAGATCATCCAGTCCCACCCTCCTGCCATGGGCAGGGACACTTTCCACTAGACCAGGGGGCTCCAAGCTTTGTCCTTGAACATTTCCAGGGATGGAGCAACCACAGCTTCTCTGAAAAACCTGTGCCAGTACCTCATCACCCACACAGGAAAGATTTCCTTCCCAATATCCCATTTAACCCTGCCCTCTGGCAGTTTAATACCACTGCCCCTTGTTCTGTCACTATCTGCCTGTATAAAAAGTCCCCCACCCTCTTTTTTATAAGCCTACTTTAGGCCCTGCCAGGGGCTCTCAGCTCTCCCTGGAGCCTGAATACTTGTGCAGGGGAGCAGCCCCAGCTCTCCCAGGCTGCCTCCAGAGCACAGGGGCTCCAGCCCTGGCAGCAGCTCCGGGGCCTTCCCTGCAGTTACGTCCTAATTTGCATTTTGGCTAAAAGTTTTCCCCGGACTTCTGCTCCAAAATGATGAGAACCTTGCTCTGCACAAATTACCCACCATATGAGGAAGGTCTGGATGCAAAGCAGCAATCCTGCATCTCAGGCTTCTCTGAATTAGTGGGAGTGAGAGCAGTTGTTTAGAAATTTTCCCTGTACTTGGCCCTGGTGAGGCAGCACCTCCAGTGATGTGTCCAGTTCTGCATCAGTTCAAGAAGGACACGGAGGGGCTGGAGCGTGTCCAGGGCAGGGAAAGCTAAGCCGTGGGGAGATCTAGTTTGGACATTAGGAAGAAATTCTTCAGAGAAAGTATGATTAGATATTGAAATGGGCTGCCCAGGGAGACAGTATAGCCACTGTCCCTGAAGGTGTTCAGTGACTGGATGTGGCCCTCAGTGCTCTGGTCTGGTGACAAGGTGGGGATGGGACACAGGCTGAACTCAGTGACCTCAGAGTTCTTTTCCAACCTAATTGATTCTGTGATTCTTTGAAACTGCAATGCAGCTGCATCTCAAATTACTCTTTTTAAATCACTTTTTTTTAAAACACTTGTGTGCACTCTCTTAATACTGGA